TCCACATAAAAAACCACAAATTCCTTGAAAGCAGGTAGAATCTTTTTTTGGGGTGGGGTGGGGTGGGGGGAGGATACTGTCCCAAAAGGACCTAATACTATTCTTTGAATATCTAAAGCATTTACTGAGTATTTATTATGAGTCACATTAAATGTGCTAAGCATTATGTATCCTTCATTGGATTTTTCCCAGAAGATACCATTTTAACCTCTATTTTAAAGAAGAAGATACCAAAGTTTAAGATAGTAAGTAGCTTGTCCAAAGTTACTCAGCTAGTAGGGCACAAAGCTGAGACTAAAATCAGATAAGCCTGACTCCATAGCTATTTCTCATCCACTGGGTGGTGGTGTCTCTCTCTTCCCGGTACAGGTACTTTACATTGACCTTAATAGACTATGAACCCAGGGTAAATGGAAAAATTCATGAAACTCTTTTCCAACTATGCCTAAGGATTTGGAATTTAATATATTGTGCCCCTTTTAGAACTGTTTAACTGATCCTTTGGTGGGTTTCTAACAAGATGGCAGAGTGGATGGAGGTTTCTGAACTCATATTTGGCATCATTAGGTTTTATAGTCTCTACAAGTTCTACATGATGAAATTTTGAATATGAGATTAATGTGTCCTATGGTCTCCTCTTATTAAAGCTAAAGCTTGCAACAACTATGCCAGGACTCTGCGGTGTATACCTAACATGAAAAACTCTTGTTAGCATTGACCCATCACTAAAGGCTCTTTCATCACACTGTGTATTACAGACAAGCATTAGGTCTGTCTCACCCAAAATCAAATTTCCTGAGTGTGGCTGCCAATATCACAGACATGCATCCAAATCAGAAAATGTTATTTATAATGTTATTATATCACCTTATATTACATTAAATTACATATTACCTTATATTACCTTATGTTATGTATCACCCTTGTTAAAAATATATTCATTAAAAATACAGAAAAATGAAGAAGGATACGGATTATGTGCATACACACACACACACACACACACACACCTGCAGCAGAATGAGAAAACGCAAGTGGCTACAGAAACCAACACTATGAAAATGAGCATCAGAAGTGGGAAATATAAAACTTTAAATAATCATCATTCATGACATCTACACAATTATTGTGGTGCTTGGAGAGTTAACTGAAATCAGCCACATGTAGCAAATATTTGGGGTTAGTTCTCAAATACACCATTCTCCTTCTCACATTTCTCATTTTTCCAGAATAATTATACAAAGTACACTGAAAGCCCAGAAGGGAAATTCAACTTTTATGAAGGAAACATGAAAAACCTCACACAAGAAAAATATATTTAAATGTCTTTTTCTCTTTTGCTTCCCTGGTTTCTTGTTTATTTTAATTAAAACTCTCCATTTAGGGGACAAGTGATTTCATATCCTAAGAAACAAAAACAAAAATTTATCCTTTACACAATGTTTTCTGGTCTTCGGTAAATTATTTCCTTCAGGTTAAAAAAAAAAAGCCATTTATAAAACTAATTAAATTAAAATGAAACAAACTGATTTTAAGATGAACATTTTTTACACTTGAAATCATTCACTCACTGTAGGATATTGTATATGTCCTTTCACTTTCATTTACACTTACACACACACACACTCACACACACACACACAATTGTTTGTTGCCAATATAACTCTGAATAGCAGAAGGTCAAAGAAACCACCTTCCCATCTTGCTAACTGGTAACCTTTCAAAATTAGGAAGAACTACTTGTGTGGAGGCATTTGTCTTTCTTGAATCCAATCCTCAACCCATTATTTTATATATCTTCCCAGGCATGAGGTGCATGCAGGCATATTTCAACCCCTTTGGCCATTTTGGGGTTTGGGGTAAATCAAAAAAGACATAATATTCTAAATGAAACAGAGGTTTGTAGCATGGTTTCTAAAGATTCATGCACAGCAAGATTGCTGGTGCTACTAAAACATAAAATATTCAGGGTAGATCATTTTTCTCATCAGATAATCACTGCATGTATTATATTAAAATATGTATCTATATCTATGCATTTATAAAGTATTTTTTTCACATAATTACTGAGAGAAATTATGTGATACACCAGCCCAAAATCTTTTTGGATATTCTTGGAAAATTGTTTTACACACATGTAGCACTTGATCTTTTGCAAGCATTTTCCAAAGCACGATCTCATTTGGTTTTTATAACAGCCCTGTGAGAGTGCGAGAGCCAGCATCATTCCAATATTATAGATAAGAAAATTCAATATAATAAGCCTTTATTTAAAGTCAAAGCTGAGCAAAAAATCCTGGACTCCTAACATGTTGTTCAGTTATCTTTTCTACTGTGTCATAAAATTATGCTTTATTCTTCTTTCATTTTTTATAAAATATTCACTTAAACCAATGGAACAGAACAGAGGCCATGGAGGCAATGTCACACATCTGTAACCATCTGATCTTTGACAAACCTGACAAAAACAAGCAATGGGGAAAGGATTCCCTGTTTAATAAATGGTGTTGGGAAAATTCGCTAGCCACGTGCAGAAAGAAGAAACTGGACCCCTTCCTGAGACCTTACACTAAAATTAACTCCAGATGGATTAAAGACTTAAACATAAGACCTAACACCATAAAAACCCTAGAAGAAAATCTAGGCAAAACCATTCAGGACATAGTCATAGACAAGGACTTTATGACTAAAACACCAAAAGCATTGGCAACAAAAGCCAAAATAGACAAATGGGACATAATCAAACTCCAGAGCTTCTGTAAAGCAAAAGAAACAGTCATTAGAGCCAATTCGGCAACCAACAGAATGGGAAAAAATTTTTGCAGTCTACCCATCTGACAAAGGGCTGATATCCAGAATCTACAAAGAACTAAAACAGATTTACAAGAAAAAAACAAACAAGCCCATTCAAAAGTGGGTGAAGGATATGAACAGACACTTTACAAAAGAAGACATATATAAGGCCAACAAACATATGAAAAAGTCCTCATCATCACTGGTCATTAGAGAAATAAAAATCAAAACTACATTGAGATACCATTTCACACCAGTTAGAATGGTGATCATTAAAAAATCTGGAGACAACAGATGCTGGAGAGGATGTGGAGAAACAGGAACACTTTTACACCATTGATGGGAGTGTAAATTAGTTCAACCATTGTGGAACACAGTGTGGTGATTCTTTAAGGATCTAGAAATAGAAATTCCATTTGACCCAGCAATCCCGTTACTGGGTATATAGCCAAAGGATTATAAATCGTTCTATTATAAGGACGCATGCACACGAATGTTCATTGCAGCACTGTTTACAACAGCAAAGACTTGGAACCAACCAAAATGCCCATCAATGATAGACTGGACAGGGATAATGTGACATATATACACCATGGAATACTATGCAGTCATAAAAAACGATGAGTTCATGTCCTTTGTAGGGACATGGATGAACCTGGAAACCATCATTCTCAGCAAACTGACAGAAGAACAGAAAATCAAACACCGCATGTTCTCACTCATAGGTGGGTGTTGAACACTAAGAACACATGGGCACAGGGAGGGGAGCATCACACACTGGGGTCTGTGGGGGGAGCTAGGGGAGGGACAGTGGCGGGTGGGGAGTTGGGGAGGGATAACTTGGGGAGAAACACCAGATATAGGTGAAGGGGAGGAAGGCAGCAAGCCACACTGCCATGTGTGTACCTATGCAACAATCTTCCATGTTATTCACATGTACCCGAAAACCTAAAGTGCAATGAAATATATATAAATTTAAAAATATACATACTCACTTTAAAATGTACTCATTATAAACAAATTGTGGTTTTGAATTCTATAAATAAAGATGAAAATATAAAGTCTTCCTTCATTCTGAAAGGGTCAACCTAGTAATATCTATAAGAATTTGTATGAAACATTTACTCTAGTTATTTATGTGTGTATCTTGGAATTGGTAGTCACTAAACTACTCCCTATAGATCAAACCTTTTGAATGGTTTTTGGTTTTGTTTTGTTTTTCTTTTCAACAGTCTGAAAGTTTACACTGGTTTTTACATTTTTAAAAAGTTGAAAAATCTCAAAAGAGAAAGATTATTTCATTACAAGTGAAAATTACAAAAAATTCAAGTTTCAGAGTCCATAAAGTTTATTGGAACACAGCAATGCTCATTCATTTACATATTGCTTTTGCTTTGCTACCCATTTGAGTAGTTACAACAAAGATTACATATCCCAAAAGCCTAAAATATTTATTATCTAATCTGCTACAGGAAATGTTTCTCAATGTGTTACAGAGAATCCCCCCTTTTTTTAATTCGTATCAAATTATCTTTTTCTTCATCAGGAAACAGGTGAATGCCCATATTTAGAACACCCTTCTTGCAACTCTCAGAGGATTTCTGTCCTTAGAGAGCAGATGAAAGTTGAGAGACCTTTTCTGGTGATATGATTACCTAAGAATCATAGGACATTCTGTATGACACAGGAATCACATAGTGCATCATTTAGAAGGTTCCAGAACGTAACCAACATTGTTACGTTGAGAAGGAACTACACACAGAATGGAGGTGATATAGCAAATATTAACAGCCTGTACCTGGAAATATCTACCGTATTATTGGGAGTAGCAGCATTGAAACACTTGCCCAAAACAGAACAGGGAAGTTCCTGTAATTCCTTCCCTCTATGAGAAAATATCTTCAGGAAAAGATGTCCCCAGCTCTCTTTCCCCAAACCTTCTAAAACTACAGAACGTCCAAGTAACTCTTCAGACCACTGGGCCCCATTACTTCTGGACTTGAGCCCAGTGCAAGTCACAACACAGAACAAAATTGAAATTTCAAGCCATACCCTCGAGCTTCTGGCCCAGTCTGTTAAAGGGACCAACACACCTGCTAAAGATATGATGGCAATCTGCCATGTTTTGCAGTAGTCAGAAGTTCAGTGTCATGTAAAAGACTTTTGTCCCTGGTGCTGAGATAATGAGCTTGTTCCTTCTCAATGATTTATGGGCTGCGGATGAGAAACTGGCTGATTGAGGCTTTGGAAGATGAAAGTTTTCCGCTCTTGGCAGTAGTACCAGTACCCTGGAGAATGTGGTTTAACTGCTCCAGTTCCATTACTGCCATCAGAAAAAGTCAAATAACAAATTATGGCAGGTGAATATAAATAATTCTCATTTTGTTCAATTTGCTACTTGCAACAGGGCTAGAAAGGACTCCGAATTCTTTGCAAAACCAAACCACAGTATTCTCATACATAGTTACTGACATATTCCAGGGTCTTGTTTGCTCAGGGCAACCAGCTCGTCCCTAAATTACTACCTCTCCTTCAGTCTTTGCCTTATATGTTTGTATTTAGGCCTCTATATTTGTTCCCTGTTAGCCATAAGCCTAACTGTTTCTCTTATCTGCTTAATGTACCTCAATAAACAATTAAGTTTTGCTTTCAAGACGCAGATATTATACATCTGAAGTTAATAAGTACTATATTATGGACTTTGCTTCAAATAAACATTAAATAAGTCCTTTCTGTCCAATATAAAACTACCTGCCACATGAAACTATTTAAATTAATTAACATTAAAGTTTTAAATTTACTTCTTCAGTCACACTAGCATATTCCCAAGGACTCAATATTCATTTGTGGTCTGTGGCTAACATGTTGAACAGTGTGGATATAGAATATTTTCATTACTGCAGAAAGCTCTATGAGACAGTTCTGCTTTACATCTTAACCCACCAAAGCAAAATTATCTTTTAAGCCCACTCTTTTTATCTACCTATTCTCACAATTCAACACAGAGCTCTCATCTTTTTTCTACTTTTGCAAAAAAAAAAAAAGGACTAGAAGGAAACTAATATTTTTGAGTGTCTGTCATGTGCTACGCATTGGCCCTTAGTTCACACAAATAATTTCATTTAATTCTCCCAAAGTTTCCTGAGTTTCTTTATTCCCAGGTCTACTCTCTCTGAGGCCCCTGACTTAGAACATGCCCAAAGTCATCTCTTTACTAATTATTTTTCTTATTAAACAAATACCTACTAGCACCTACAGTGTTCCGGGAATGGTTCTAGAATTTGCTTTTCCCTGGCACTGGTCCTAGGAATCCTATTTTCTCAACTTCTGCTCTTTTGGCCTTTCTTGGAAATTTCCAAAACGTTTCCTCTCGGAGTAAGTGTAGCCCACTTTCTCTCTGAATATCTTCCCACAGTTTTTCTTTAACAACTCATAGTGATTCCCAAACCTGCCTGTTCTCCATCTTAACCCTCAGCCCATGGCTTGGGAAAACCGTCACTCCTGCTGCCAAAATTGCAAAAGAGATCTAAACATCCCCCACTAGCTTTCATAATACCATTTGAAATTCAAAATTTACATATGAATATTAAAAGACAATGACTGTACACTCACTGCTCTGAGAAAGTCTGACTGTCTTATTTAAACATTGAATATCAAATATATATTTATATTAGTCCATTCTCACACTGCTATAAAGACATACCTAAGATAAGACTGGGTAATTTATGAATAAAAGGGGTTTACTTGACTCCCAATTCCACAAGCTGTACAGGAAGCATGGCTGGGGAGGCCTTAGGAAACTTACAACAATGGTGGAAGGCAAAGGAAAAGCAAGCGCCATCCTCACATGGCGGAGCACAAGAGAGAGAGTTAAGGGAGAAGTGCTATACACTTTCAAGCAACCAGATCTCATAAGAACTCTATCATAAAACAGCACTAGGGGGATGGTGCTAAACCATCAGAAACCACCCTCATGATCCAATCACCTCCCACAGGCCCCTCTTTCTACACTCACGATCACAATTCAACATGAGATTTGTGCAGGAACACCGAGCCAAATCATATCATTCCACCCCGGCAGGTCCCAAATCTCATGTGCTTCTCAAATTTCAAAACACAATTATGCCTTGCCAACATCCCCCAAAGTCTTAAGTCATTCCAGCATTAACTCAAAAGTCCAACACCAAAGTCTCATCCAAGACAAGGCAAGTCTCTTCTGATTATGAGCCTGTAAAATCAAAAACAAGTTATTTACTTTCAATACACAATGGGTTACAGGCATTGGGTAAATGTTCTCATTCCAAAAGGGAGTAAGTGGCTAAAACAAAGGGGATACAGGCCCCATGCAATCTGAAACCCAGAATGGTGGTCATTGAATCTTAAACCTCAAAAAGAATCCCTTTGACTCCATGTCTCACATCCAGGGTACAATGATGCAAGGGGTGGCCTCCAAGGAATGGGTAGCGCCACCCCCCTGGCTTCACAGGGTACAGTCCTGTGGCTGCTTTCACTAGCATCTAGTGCCTGCAGCTTTTCCAGGAACACAGTACAAGCTGTTGGTGGATCTACCATTCTTGGGTCTGGAGGACAGTGGCCCTTTTCTCACAACTCTGCCAGATAGTACGCCAGTGGGGACTCTATCTAGGGCCTCCAACCCCACATTTCTCTTCCACAATGTCCTAATAGAGTTTCTCCATGAGAGTTCCAACCCTGCAGCAGACTTCTGCCTGGGTATCCAGGGATTTCCATAAATCTGAAATCCAGGTGGAAGCTCTCAAGCCTCAATTTTCACTCTTTATACACCTGCAGGCCCAACACCACATGGAAGCCACTAAGGATTGAGGCTTGCACTCTCTGAAGCAATTGCCCAAGCTGTACCTTGGCCCATGTTAACCATAGCTGAAGTTGGAGCAGCCACAATGTCCCAATGCTGCCCAGAGCAATGGGGCCCCTGGCCTGGCCCACAAAACCATTTTTGCCTCCTAGGCCTTCATATCTCTGATGGGAGGGATTGCCACAAAGATCTCCAAAATGTCTTATAGGCATTTTTCCCATTGTCTTGGCTATTAACATCAGCTCTTCTTTATGCAAATTTCTGCAGTCAGCTTAAATTTCTTCCCAGAAAATGGGTTTTTCTTTTCTATTGCATGGTCAAGCTGCAAATTTTCCAAACTTTTATGCTCTGCACTCCTTTTAAATATAAGTTCCAACTTCACACCATCTCTTTGTGAATGCACATGAGCACATGCTGTTAGAAGCAGCCAGTTCACTTCTTGAATGCTTTGTGCTTAGAAATTTTGTCCACCAGATGCCCTAAGTCATGTCTCTCAAGTTAAAACTTAAGTAGATCTCTAGGACAGGGGCAAAATGCCACCAGTCTTTTTACTAAAGCATAGCATGAGTGACCTTTACTCCAGTTCTCAATAAATTCCTCATCTCCATCTGAGACCTCCTCAACCTGGACTTTACTGTCAATACCACTATCAGCATTTTGGTCACAACCATTCAACAAGTCTCTAAGAAGCCCCAGACTTTCTCTTAAGTCTCTAAGCAGCCCCAGACTTTCTCTTATCTTTCTATCTTCTGAGCCCTCCAAACTGTTCCACCCTCTGCCTATTTCTGGTATTACAGCAACGCCCAATTTCTCTGGTACCAAATTTCTACATAAGACCATTCTCACCCTGCTATAAAGATACACCTGAGACTGGGTAATTTATGAATAAAAAGGTTTAATTGACTCCCAGTTCCACAGGTTGTACAGGAAGCATGACTGGGGAGACCTTAGGAAACTTAAAAATCATGGTGGGAGGAGAGGGGAACGCAAGCACCATCCTCACATGGTAGAACAGGAGACGGGAGGTGGGAGAGAGTTAAGAGGGAAGTGCTGTACACTTTCAAGCAAACAGATATCATGAGAACTCTATCATGAAACAGCACTAAGGGGACAGTGCTAAACCATTAGAAACTACCCTTATGATTCAATTACCTCCCTACAGGCCCCACCTCCAAAACTCAGGACCAAAATTCAACGTGAGATTTGAGTGGGGACACAGAGTCAAAATATATAAATATTGAATAATGAATTCAACATATTTTAAGATTGATCAATACATTTTAATATTGAAGGCTGCGGCACCTCAGCTTCAATTAGTCTTCAGAAATGGGCAATATTTTATTAGAAATATTTTTAATCTGGCCAACTGCAGTGGCTTACACCTGTAATCCTAGCACTTTGGCAAGCTACGGTGGAAGGATCACTTGATTCCAGGAGTTAGAGATCAGCCTGGGCAACAAAGTGAGACCCCCATCTCTACAAATAAAAAAAATTAGCTGGGTCTGGTGGTATACATCTGTGGTCCCAGCTACGTTGGAAGCTAAGATGGGAGGATCACTTGACCTTTGGAGGCTGAGGCTGCAGTAAGCAGTGATCACATCACTGCACTACAGGCTGGATGACAGAGTGAGAACTTGTCTAAAAAATATACATAGATATATAGATATACATACATATATATATATATATATATATATATATATATATATATACACACACACACATATATGTGTATATAAACTTTCATGCAAAGTCTACTAGAAACAGTGATAGATAAAAGACAGCCACCAATTCCTTGACATGCCTCCAATCTAGAAATGAAGTGTGCTTCTCTTTCCCTTGCATAGGGCTGACAGTAACTGCTTTAACAAATGAAGGCTGATGGAAGCAATGCAATGCCAGTTCCAGGCTTAGACTTTAAGAAAGCTGGCAGCTTCAACTTTGATATCTCTTGGTAGCTGAGTCACCCTGAAAGAATTCTGATGACCTGCTGGAGAGACCACCTGAAGAGTCCTGAGGGTACACAGAGAGGGAGCACAGTTTTCCAGGTGCCCATTAAGGTGCCAGGATGTAAGGTGAACTCATCTTTGACCGTCTGGATGAATCTAGCCACCAGTTATATACCACCCAGTGACCAGTGTCTCTGCCATATGGAGCAGTACAGCAAAGCCACATCTTGCCGAATTCCTGTCCCAGAAAATTATGACAGAGAATAAAATAGATTTGTCTAAGCCATTAAGTGTTAAAGATGTTTATTAGGCAATAATAGGTAACTAGAGCTTAGGGCAACAAATTAGCTGGTATAACTGGCTATCATCCTCTAACAGACTCATGAGGAGATGAGAGAAGCCAGACCCACTTCACGGAAAGCCTAAGTTGTAGAAGCAGATGATGGTACTGGTCAGATAAAAATTGTATAAGTGAGGAAGAAGAAAGAAATCCCACTGGTTTCCCTATCCCAGAACTCTACCTTCACATTATCCAACTTT